AAAAAAAATATTTAAATTTCTTTCTTGTTCCTGAGGAGACTGGTGAGGCTCCGCCTCCCTTGCCTCTAGTGACTGCATGTCCCTGCCACCACCACAGTTCAAAGAATCAATTCTTCTTCAATCAGCCTTTCTTACTGTCCAATTCTCACACGCATACACCATTCAGTGTAGTGATACTTACTTAGAATTCTCCATGCGGGCATTCATAGAAAAAGTGCATAAATGTCTCCACACAAGGCTAGGTTTTACATAAGCCTTTCCTTTCTTAACTGAAGGTATGTTCATCATTAGGGTTTTCAGAGTAGTCATATAATTCTGGGAGGTGGTACAATTAATTTAATGAGTTTTGACAAATTCATGCCTTTGCACAATCCAATGCACCATTCATTTTTGAATCTATAGCACTGCCCAGCTCTATTAATCATGCCATTTAACTGTTTAACTGCTCCTTCTTATAGACCATTATAGTCATTATATTTTAACTATTTTCCCCCAAAATATGAAAGAATAACAAAACCCAAATACCATAATTCTTGAATGTTCTCTTCTATTACTGTTTGCCTAAAATCCCCACTGGGCATATTTAGATTCTTGTTATTTCATATTAATTGCTATAGATCTAATCCAATCAGGTCGCCATTAGCTCTCTGTTTTACAGACATCTAATTTATGCCTATCTAATATTCTTGTTAGTGATTTTAACATCATCTTATTGCTTGTTATGGAAGCCTTCAGGCAGAGTTTTGTTATTAGACTTAAAAATGTTTTTATAAGACAATTTATAAGTAGTTCAGGAACAACCACTTCTTTATGCTTTAATCTGGGATACTTGGCTGCTGATTGTTTGGCAGGCGGGAAGCAAGGGAGGAGGGAGGGGGAAGGGAAAAGGAAGGAAGGTGAGAAAGAAGGAAAGAAAAAAAAGACCTGTTTATATGACACTTGATTATAATATTTCAATATAGTAAAGTTCTATTTGGACAAAATACTTTTAGTGGGTATACTTCAGTCATTTTTAAAATAATTTTTAAAAACCCACAAAATATGAATAGTTTAAACAAATCTAAATGTGATCTAAATCTAACTCCACTATAATCTTTTGTTGTTTCAGGTTTTGTTCCTATATGCTCACTGGGTTTGTCTCAGATTGGCCGAATGAATTTTGGAAGGGATGCCAGCACTTTCAAATACTATACAATGTGTGGGCTTCAAGAAGGTTTTGAGCCCTTTGCCGTCAACATGAACAGAGAAGTCGCTATGTGGTTTAGCAAACGCTTACCAACCTTTGTCAATGTGCCAAAAGGGCATCCTCATATTGAGGTAATGCTGAATAGTAAGAAGAGCCATAACACCATTAAGTATAATCCATAATTAAGTACTCCATTAGGTCTGAGGTGTACATTTTGAATGTTGAAAACATCTCATGCAAATATTTAAAACTGATAATCATGGGGGTTTGTAACCAGTCACAAAATGTAACAAGAAAGCAAATCAGTGAAGCTGTTACTTGTGCCCTTCAGATCCCAGAAACGTACTCTTTTATCTTTGCCTTTTTCACTTGGCGAGATCAGAGGCCACAGTCACCACCATGCTTAATTTCCAAGATTCAGAGGGGCTTAAAATGGAAATAATACTGAAATTTGTACCTAATTCACTACAATAGAAATTTTCAATTTCGTTATGAGAATATGACAACATATCTTTAAATAATGAACAAATTAAGACTAAATGGAACAGAGAATCCATGGGACATAAAAAGTTATTACCAGGATGTTGATGAGCTCACCTTAACGTTACCTATCTCTCCTTTATGTCATTAAGAATTTATATTGACAATATAACATAGGAGATAATTTAGTAAGTCTTAGCGTAGGCTTGTAGTGCTTATTTTTTCTAAACAAATGCTTGTAAAAACAAATTTCTGATAATTTAGGTTACAAGAATTGATGGAAACATTGACAATCCACCACGTTTAAAAGTTACTCATAAGACGTTTGGAACACAGAATAGTAATGCAGGCATGATGTATTGTCGCTTGAGCATGCCAATTGAATTTCATTCATCTTTTACCTACAGTCATGGTTTGGAATTTGAGGGCTTCTACAAAAGGTTAGATATATTTTCAGTCCTTTAACTGAAGCATATGTTTTTAATTCTGTCTGCCTTTTTACTTAGGGAATTATTAGTTATTTCCACCTAGCTTGTATTGTTCCATGGCAATGTTCAATTCTTTATTCCAAAACAGAAGACTTTTTTGATTTTGCAGCTAGTGATTTTCAGTAATCAGAAATATAAAGGAGTCAGGAAACAAATGCATCCTAGGCATGGTTTGTCACTGAAGAGCTTGTTTCAGGTGTTATATTCTTCTCCTAAGATATAGGTAATCCTTCTCCTTAGCATATATATGATTTTTAATTAAAATAGTTATAGAAGTGTATTCTGAGACTGCCTGAATTTGTTTTTGAAGTGACAGAATTCATGCTTCACTTTTATGTTTTAATTTTGCCTAGAATACATTTTTTTCCATTCAGCACACAGGTTAAAATATTTTCAGTTCTATTTTAATGTTTTATACAGTCATTTGATTCTCTATTATGTTGATAATCTTATTACAGAAAACAGAACCAGGAAATACCTATTCATGCAACAACAGTAAGTATTTAGGGTTCTTTTTTTTTTTTAACGGACTAGTTATCTTAGTTTGAACAGCATTGGCTTAGATTTTGCCCAAAATTAGAACATACTTTGACTTAATTGAAATTCTGGGAAGTTAATCCAGTTATGTTTAAGCATATGGTGGACTCTGACATACATACATACATACATACGTACGTACGTACGTACGTACGTGTGTGTGTGTGTGTGTGTGTGTGTGTGTGTATGTATGTATGTATGTATGTATGTAT